AGTTCAACCAGAGTTTGTCAGGCTGTTTTTCTGTCTAATTTATTTCTGACACTTCAATGAAATTAGTTTCAGTATAGACTTGAATTGTTTGTGTATGGTTTTCCTTATTATGATACATAAAAGTAAAATGTCTGTCTTTCAACATAGGTCCATACATTTTATGAAGCTGTGGGGTACATGATTGGTGCACAAACAGACCAAACAGTACAAGAACATTTGATAGAAAAATACATGCTGCTTCCTAATCAAGTTTGGGATAGTATAATCCAGCAGGCAACCAAAGTAAGTTATATTACTTTTTACAAAAGTTATGGTGGAATTTAAGAAGTGTGTTATTTTTAGGAGCAGTGAACTCAGTGCCTTTGACATGCATACCTGATTCATAACTACTTTTGTGTGTGTTTTTGTGCATTAAAGAAATAAGTATTTTTATTTTGTTTTGCTGGTGCATTGGGAAGATGTCACTCTAATGTTGGTTGTAGGTATTAGTAATAGACTTCTGTGTTTTTATACCATTATGGATTATAAATGTGATTATAAATTTGGAATAATGTTGGTAGTGGTTTTTGCTTTAATAATTACAAGGATAATTCTTGTCTATCACAGAATGTGGATATACTTAAAGATCCTGAAACAGTTAAGCAGCTTGGTAGCATATTGAAAACAAATGTGAGAGCCTGCAAAGCTGTTGGACACCCCTTTGTAATTCAGCTTGGGAGAATTTACTTGGATATGCTTAATGTATATAAGTGCCTCAGTGAAAATATTTCTGCAGCTATCCAAGCTAATGGTGAGTGATTTTGAATTCTTATGGAATGCTGTACAACATCAATTCTACGTTCTCTGCCTTAGTGTAGGCATTCAATAGTTCTTACAGATTTTAAATAAGCCTCCCTCCAGATAACCCTAGATAATTTTTTAACTAGTTGCATGCCCCTTCCCTTAGAAAATTAGTCTTCCCCCCCCACCCCCCATTAAATATATCTTTAGAGGTAAATAGTATTGGAAGTACATGTAATTACCAATATAGAATTTTATTTGTCAAGTTGGATTCCACTTGGTTGTATTTTTTAGGTGAAATGGTTACAAAGCAACCGTTGATAAGAAGTATGCGAACAGTAAAAAGGGAAACTTTAAAGTTAATATCTGGTTGGGTGAGCCGGTCCAATGATCCACAGATGGTAAGTGAGATGTGTTTTTTGTTTTTTAAGTTGATGCTGCATTCTCTGGTTTAAGCTTTGTCTCTGTATTTGGCTAATTTAAAGGTAATTTAGATGTCTACATTTAGGATTATTGTATAGCATTCTATTAATTACAGTCTTTGACTACTTGAAAATACTAAGTTTTAAACCATCTTGCAAAGATGGTTAGATGGTGGTGATATGTAACAAGATAGCTGAGAGGAATAGATTGGGTAATTTTAATTTTTTCATGGATAGATATATAGAGTTCAGATGAAATCTTTATGTTCATCATGATTTTCAAAGCAATTTGCAAAGCTTTCATTAGTTTGCCTCCTCAGTAAAAGTACTTTACCAGCTGAAGGTTTGAAAATCTCATTTACTCTTACTGCTTTTATTCTAAATCATTTCCAGAAAGGAGTATGATTTTCAGAAACTAAATGAGCTCCATATGCCTCAACTTGGAAAAATGTGAATAATTTTTAGTTTTTGTTAAACCTTTTCATGCTCTTGATCCTTGGAACATTACAGAAATTTCTGTCTTATTGACATTGCTGCATGGAAATATTGGTTGACAAGTGATCTATTTGTATAATTTTAAAATTTCAATATTGTTCCAATTGATAAGGAAAAAATTTCCAGGAAACTTGTTCAGGAAACTATTGTGGAATTCTCAAGGTATCAGATTTAAATACTGCTGGGGTCCAACCCCAGCAGGACAAGGGCTCCCCAATGGTGTGGACGGAGTCGGTGAAGAAGGAATGACACAGAGACAGCGTTCAGTTGATCAGCAGCCTTGCCAGGATCTCTAGCCACAATCTCCAGCCAAGTTCTATTTTCTTTTTATTTTTTTTCTTTTTGTTTTTTTTCCCGCCTGGCACTTAGTGAAGGGGTTTTATTCCCTCCCTAACTTCAGGGGGAAATCTCTACCTGGAGAAACAATCTTTCTTGGAGAGGTGACCTTGGTTAAAACACATAGTGCCAAGAAGGTGAGCAAATATATTAAGAACAGTATGCCATATATGCCAGGTCCCTTGAAACAGCAAGGATGGACCGGCTCACAGCACATTTTGGCTTAAAACAAGACACATTTTATTATCTCATA